TTGAGACAGAGTCTCACTTTGTCACCCTCAGTAGAGTGTCGTGGTGTCACAGCTCACAGCAACCTCAAACTCTTGGGCTCAAGTGATTATCTTGTCTCAGCCTCCCAAGTAGCTGAGGTGGACTACAGGTGCCCGCCACCACACCTGGCTATTGTTTACTTATTTATTTTTTTTAGGGACCAAGTCTTGCTCTTGCTCTGGCTGGTCTTGAACCTGTGAGCTCAGGCACTCCACCTGCCTCAGCCTCCCAGAGTGGTAGGATTATAGGTGTGAGCAGCGGCCAGAAAGGAACATTTCAAAGTTTAGTATATACAACTGTAGATAATTGCTTAGGGCCTCTAGTTGCCTCCACAGTTGTCAGCTCATGGATAGTCTTGTTTTCTCAATGTCCCTGCCCATTCCCCATCCCTCATGATTATTTTGAAATAAACCCCAGACATCATTTCATTTGTCAGTATTTGTCTCAGTATGTAGTTCTTAGGAGGAGAAGGAGAAAGATTCCTTTTAAAAGATAGAACCGCAAACCTATCATCACCTCCAAATCAATAAGACTTTTTAATATCATTAAATATCCAGGCATTGTTCACATTTCCTCCATTTGTCCTGTAATTTTATTAAGATTTGTTGAATTAGGAGCCAAACAGGTTGACACATCATGATAGTCTAAACATAATTCCTGAGTTTCATTTAATCTACAGGTTTCCCTCCATCTCATTTTCCCAAGCTATTTACTGGAAAAACTGGGTCATTTGTCTCAAAAGTTTCCCTTGTTTTGGATCATGGTACCCCTTTAGTGGTGTTCTAATATGGTTTATTGTCTCCTATATTTCCTGTATATTTTAAGTCACCGTAGCCTTTACTCAGATTCAGGTTCAATTCTTTTTTTGCAAGACTTCATAGGTGATGTCTTAACTTCCATTAGGAGACATAATATCTTCTTGTTCCTCTTTTTATGCTATTAATAGCCATTGATGATTGCTTTTTTTTTTTTTTTTTTTTTTTGAGAAAGAGCCTCAAGCTGTCACCCTGGGTAGAGTGTCATGGCATCACAGCTCACAACAACCTCTGACTCCTGGGTTCAAGCGATTCTCCTGCCTCTGCCTCCCAAGTAGCTGGGACTACAGGTGCCTGCCACAACGCCTGGCTGTTTTTTAGTTGCAGCTGTCATAGTTGTTTGGCGGGCCTGGGCTGGATTTGAACCCACCAGCTCAGGTGTATGCGGCTGGCGCCTTAGCTGGTTGAGCTACAGGCGCCGAGCCAGATGATTGCTTCTTAATCCCTTAATTCATCAGCTTTTGCAAAATGGTGATAGCTGAATTTTAACATTCCTTCGTTAATCAACTTCTACAAAGACAAACTTTCCCTCCTCAACTATTTGATTTGCCTAAGGTACAGTTCATATAGGAAAAGAAGGATAAATGCTTAACTTTCCCCCATTATTTATTATTTTCCAAAATAATGAATCATCATCTTTTGAAAACTTCCAAAGTGATCAGTGAAGTGTTGTTGTTGTTATTTTAGTAGCATCAGGGATTCATTCATTCAACAGGGCAGCTGATTCCCTGAAAAGGAGGCAGCAGTTTCCTGGGAGGGAAATGCAGGAGTGGGGAAGAATGATGGGCTTCTGCGGGGTGTGTGGGGGTGAAGATGTGGGAGGAAAGAGGGTAAAGTTATGCTTATTTTTAAAAAATTATTATTTTTTATTAAATCGTAACTTTGTACATTGATGCATTTATGGGGTTCAGTGTACTGCTTTGATATACAATGTGAAATGCTTACATTGAAATAA